CCAGTTGGTTACCATCACAACGGATGCTTTTGCCTCTCACCGTTTCCATCTTCCCAAGTCCATTGTCTTCAGTCTCCCTGCAATGGCATTGATTCTTCAAGAAAAACAACTTTCACCACCTCCAGAGTGATCAGCGCACTGAATCTTATGCGAAGAAAAGTTGGGTTTCGAGGACGACGGCTGATTCCTCTTGACCAGCTGTCGATTGACTTACTGGAACATTCATGCTGACGCTGTTTCCGAGGCAATCTCGTTCGATTCCGATGAAAAGGTGCTAAGCTCTCGTCCGTCGCATGACGAACATCATCAGATTAAGGTACCATCATCACAACCAAATTCAAGCTAACGAGTCAAGAAAGCTCACCGGCAAATCCCTAAAAAGTGGTATCAATATTCTACATCTGACCTCTCTGATCAAGCATAAAGTGATTTGTCAGTTAAGGTCATATGTCAACTTTGATGCCTGTGTGTGTGTGTGTGTGTGTGTGTGTGTGTGTCTATGTCTATGTACCAGAGAGACAGACAAACTCTGGACTCGTTAGCTTGAATCTTGTTGTGACGATGGTACCTCGCTCTGATGATGAAAGCTTATCACCTTTTCACCGGAATCGAAGGAGATTGCCTCGGAAACAGCGTCAGAATGAATATTCCAGTAAAGCCAATTGACAGCTGGTCAAGAGGAATCCTCCGTCGTCTTCTGGTGGTGGAAACGACCTTCGAATCTCTTTATCCAACACTTTCACTCAAAATGGGAGTAAGCTCAACACTAAATCTTCTGTTTAGTTCTATCCTCCTTTGAGCAGGGAAACCGGTTGCACTCAAGCTTTTTCTTTATACTCTTCATTCGTCGCGTTTCGATTAACTGCAACTAGTCGGATTGGATAAGCAGAGCAGTTTTATAGTTAAAATTACCCATCTTCAGCCCAGCTTGCCCAAGAACTAAGCCACTCCATCCCCCACACCACCACCAACATCACACCCACAATATACCCAACCGGCCATCTTTGCTTCGTCCTCTTCGCGCCAGCCTCTCTTGCTCTGCCCTCAGCGTCGGCCATCGTGGAACGACAAATGGCACACAACACCGTGCTCTTCTCTTCTCCACACGTACCTACCACCTTGTACTCCCACTTTACACAAACGCACACATACGCATGCACATACACACTCACATCTCACCCCACTCTTTCAGACTTCTCAATCCGATTACTCTTCCTGCCTGCCAGTCTATGATGTGAAGGCGTCGAGTTGATTAGACGACCGGGCGGATTAGTTGGACTCGCCAGTGTTTTATGAGTAAGGAATTCTGGAAGATTGGGCTGACAAAGACAAAGAAAATGATGGCAAAGAAGCCCGAGGTAAGCGGCCCTCAAGAGCCAAGACAGAGTACGGGTGGGTGACCCTGGAAAGATTACGTTGAGCGTGACAAAGAAGAGGAAAAATACTGCCGTCTGAGGCAAATACATGTAAATAACTCCCATATCTGCAGCCATTATAGCATGGCTATAAAGGGAACCAGCAAGAGCCAGCGATGATTCTGCCACTAGGGCTGAGAGTATCAGAAGCAAACACACAAACAGCATCATAGTTGCCTATTGTGGTCGTACATCATAACTCCAACCCACCTTCCAAGGCAGGGAATGGATCTTAAGCACGCTCGGCTAGCTTACGAACATGCAGATTCTGACCAGGAAGCATAAAACCATTAATTGTGGATATTAACTCCAAGATGATATTGCCTCTGTTTCGGTCGCAGCACCTTTGCTCTGTATATAAATGGTTTGACCTCGTTTTCGCAACTTGAAAATGTTGTCCGGTTGACCCAGAAAAACCTACCGTTTCCTAAGTCCTCTGCCACAGTAGTCATGGCGATTCGCGAAGTCAGACTGTGGGTTCGGTACATCACCTACAACTATGAAGATAAAGTGTCTGCGAATGCATCACATCTACAGCCCGATGCTGAGAATTATTGTATTTATAAGAAACCAGATGACTTACAAGAATGACTTTCAGCTTTGATGATGTCCATCGAATCATGATTGTTGAGCTTACTTCCATTTCGAGTGAAAGTGTTGGGTGA